CATTCTTCAGACACTCCGTCCCCCTAAAGGACTTGGAATCTTTTTTTTTTTTTTTTTTTTAGCCTCCTGTTTTAGTGGTTGTGGATGCTGTGACACCTTTCAGAAGCAGGGTGTTAGGATCTTTTGACCATTAGTGAACTAACAAAGTGGAAGATAAGGATTTTTCTCCAGTGGGTGTTTGCTGTGGATTTGTTGGAAGAAGCCTTCTCATGTATGAGCTGTCTTTATCCCTATTTTGTAATTTTCCACTTTGCTGCTGGCCCAGAGTGAATGTAAATGGAATTTCCCAGAAATTTCCACAACAGGTGGATCTCACTTAGTGAGCCCCCTTGGCATTTGTTGTGTCTGCCTTTACCTAACTCCACAATCATTGGAATGAAGGGGTGGTCTTCTCTCAAGTCTGCATCTTTCTGAGGCACTGCAATAAGGGACACCCCACAGTTACCACCTCTTTTGGTTACCCGAAGGTTTCAGCTTTGTCTGAGCTCTCCAGACTCCAGCTCTGGGCCAAGGTGATTTTGGTGGAGTCATCCCAGCAGGGAGCTAGGAGGAAGAGGGGATTAGGAATTCCTGCTCAGACTTCCTTGCTGTGCATACATATGTCACGCTAAATGATGTTGTTTCACTCTGGGGACATGGTTGCTTTTGATAAAATGACTTTTCTACACTTTGGTTAAGCTGAATGAAACATATTTGAAGCTCCTATTTTTTCTTCAGATGCTCAGGATGAAAGTGTTTAAGAACAGAGTCAGGCTGGGTGCGGTGGCTTATGGCTGTAATCCCAGCACTTTGGGAGGCCAGGATCACCAGCCTGGCCAATGTGGCAAAACTCCATCTCTACTAAAAAAATACAAAAATTAGCCAGGCGTGGTGGCATGCCCCTGTAATCCCAGCTACTTAGGACGCCAGGGCACGAGAGTCGCTTGAACCCAGGAGGTGGAGGTTGCAGTGAGCTAAGATCCTGCCACTGCGCTCCAGCCTGGGTGACAGTCTCAAGGAAAAAAAAAAGAATAGAATCTTTAGGATAGCGGCAGGATGCCGTGGCTCATGGCTATAATCCTAGCACTTTGGGAGGCTGAGGCAGGCAGATTGCTTGAGCCCAGGAATTTAAGACCAGCCTGGGAAACATAAGGATACCTCATTTCTACAAAAAATTAGCTGGACATGGTGGCACGTGCCTATAGTTCCACCTACTCAGGAGGCTGAGACAGGAGAATCACCTGGGTCTGGGGAAGCCAAGGGTGCAGTGAGCTATGATCGTGTCACTGCCCTCCACTCTGGACAACGGAGTGAGACCTCGTCTCAGAAAAAAAAAAAAAAAAAAAGAATCTTTAGCATAGGAGGATACTGAGCAGAACCAGGAGAAACCAGTGATTAAGAGTGCAGGTGTGAAAATAGAAACTAGGTCTCAGGAGTTCAGAGAGAAGAACTGGAAAGACAGCATGTTTGACGGATTTGGCCATGAGTAGGAGGAAGAAGACAGAATGGAGGCCAGAAAAGTGTGTGTATATCTAAGGGTTTCTTTGGAATTGGGAGATCCAGGTATACCACGTAAAATTACTTGTGAAGGTAAAGTTTGAAGAAAATTCATTCGACTTTGATATATATAATTTTTAAAACCACATTATCTGGTAAAACACCAGAAGTCCTGTTTCTTGGTTACTGATATGAGTGTTCAAGGCCTCAGATCAACTCAGCATGCATTTATGTATTTATGTATGTACGTATGTGTTTATTTATTTAGGAATGGAGTCTCATTCTGTCGCCCAGGCTGGTTGCAGTGGCTCTATCTTGGCTCATTGCAGCATGCATTCATTTATTTAATCTTTTTTGAGGTGGCGTTTCATTCTGTCACCCAGGCTGGAGTGCAATGGCTCCATCTTGGCTCACTGCAACCTCTCCCTCCAGGTTTCAAGTGATTATCCTGCCTCAACCTTCCAAGTAGCTGGTGGAATTATAGGCATCCGCCACCAAGCCCAGCTAATTTTTGTATTTTTAATAGAGATGGGATTTCACCATGTTGGGCAGGCTGGTCTCGAACTCCTGACTTCAGGTGATCCACCCACCTCAGCCTCCCAAAGTGTTGAGATTACAGGTGTGAGTCACCATGCCTGGACAACTCAGCATTTATTGAGTACTCCTTGTGTACCAGTTAGGGCTGTAAAGATGAGTAAGATGTATTTTCCCCAGTTGAGACATGTATAAGACAGTTCACATTTGCCTATTTCAGTAGTCAGGATTTTCTTTTGCTTATTCAGTTTTCATTGAAACTTATATTTTCCAAATATAAAATTAGAATTCCAATTTTGTATTTTTCAGGCACACACACTCATTTACCCTCCACTCCTTCCCCAGTTCTGATTTGCTTCCTCCCAAAGATGGGGGTGATGGTTCATCTACTCCAGGGTCAGAATCGCTAGATGCCTTGTTGCAGTGATTTTTTTCTGTGGCTCCTCTGGAGGTTATAGGCTCCTAGGGAATAAATAATGTGGTCAGGTGGAGGCTTCAGACCAAGTTAAGCAGGGTTTTAAAAACATGGTGTTCATATACATAGTGCAGCCATTCTCAAAACTATGGCAAGGGGAGACCCCTGGAAGTTTCCTGAGACAGTTTTAAGGAGTCTGCTGAGTCAGAAAACTATTTTTGTGAAACTGTGAAAACATTTGCTTTTTTCATTTTTTCTCTCACATGTGTAGAGTGGAATTTTCCAGAGGTTACATGATGTGTGTGTGATATAGCACAGCAGATTGAATGCAGAAGCTCCTATGAAAATTTCACACAAATATATTACTTGTGTTATAATGGGCTTGTTATTTTGAAATGAATTGATTAATACTTTTTTTTTTTTTTTTTTTTTTTTTTTTACAGTTTCTCAGTGTTGTATTATGGTAAATATTCATTGATAAAACCCACATTTGGAGGACATCAGTAACCTTTAAGAGTGTAAAAGGGGACCAAAAAGTCCGCAAAGTGTGAGAGCCTTTGTTGTAGAGAAACCCTAAGCTCATTCCCTGGTCTTTGGCTATAGATGCTTTCTCCAGGGGTGGATCTTCCTGTGTCCTGCAGGGTGTCCAGTAGGAAGCACAGCCTCTTTGATCTTATGGAGATGGGCTCATTTGCTGTCCTGGAGCTCAAAGCGAGTGCAAAGCTGAGTTACTTTATACTCCCTGGTTATGGCAAAGCCTCCACTTTTGTTCCCTTCTGTCATCACTTTCGTTCTTTCCCCATTCTGGATACCCATAGTCCATAGAAATCATTTTTACCTGACAGCGATAAGCTGACCAGAAGTTATAGAAGCTGTGGTACGTCCTGTATATCCTAATGGTTTTAAAAAATACTGGCTGGGGCATATTCACCCTTTCTGAATAAAGGCTGCTAGGTGACCCTTTTGTTGCCTCTGTATATATTCACTTGGTTAGCCCACAGATTGCCTTGGACCTAGTTCCCTTTCCTTCTTCAACTGCCCAAAGGGCTTTTCAATTTTTTAAAAAAATAAAATGTTTTTAAAGTTTTCAGATACAACAGCTACCTATTTGTATGCTTACTTATCCCACAGTCAGCTAAATTTAAAGTGTCAGTAAATTGTAAATAAAAGATTTACTACATTGCGTATGTTTTTAGAAGTGCTTTCTGTGTATAATTTCTTTTTTTTTCCTTTTTTTTCTTGGTTTGAAGGAGATTTTCCCCTTGTCTATAAGTAACTTAAATATAAAATGTTATAACAGTACCCTTATTAGATTGAAGCCCCAATTTGCTTGTCTTTCTTTTTTTTTTTTTTTTTTTAAGTGAAAGGAGGTTTGTTAAAAAAGTAAAGAAACAGGCCAGGCACAGTGACTCATGCTTGTAATCCCAGCATTTTGGAAGGCCAAGGAAGGTGGATCACCTGAGGTCAGGAGTTCAAGATCAGCCTGGCCAACATGGTGAAACCCCATCTCTACTAAAAATACAAAATTAGCCAGGTGTGGTTGTGGGTGCCTGTAATCCCAGCTACTTTGGAGGCTGAGGCAGTAGAATCACTTAGAACCTGGGAGGCAGAGGTTGCAATGAGCCGAGATCGGATATTGTGCTACTGAACTCCAGCCTGGGCAACAGAGGGAGACTGCCCAAAAAAAAAAAAAAAAAAAAGAAGAAGAAGAAGTAGTAAAGAAACAAAAGAGTGGCTACTCCATAGACAGAGAGCATGGGCTGCTTGACTGAGTCTATTTATAGTGATTTCTTGATATCGCTAAACAAGGGGTGGATTATTCATGAGTTCTCTGGGAAAAGGGCAGAGATTTCCTGGAACTGAAGGTCCCTCCTCTTTTAGGGGACTATTTAGGGTAACTTCTCAAAGTAGCTGTGGCATTTGTAAACTGTCATGGTGCTGGTGGGAGTGTCTTTTAGCATGTTGATACATTATAATTACTGTATAATGAGCAGTGAGTATGACTAGAGGACACTTTTCATCGCCATCTTGGTTTTGGTTGGTTTTGGCCTGCTTCTTTACCACATCCTATTCTGTCAGCAGGGTCTTTGTGACCTGTATCTTGTGCCGAGCTCATCCTATCTCATCCTGTGACTAAGAATGCCTAACCTCCTGGAAATGCAGCCTAGTAGGTCTCAGACTTATTTTACTCAGCCCCTTTTCAAGATGGAGTTGCTCTGGTTCAAACACTTCTGACATATTTTCCCTCTCCCTTTTACAGGGGGACCCTTAGTCCTAAAGAATTGTAGAAGGACAAAGATCTATCATCTGTAACTTCTTCAGGCCAAATAGGGGTGATTTGACTATTAGGGTCTCTTGTTTTTAAGGTAGAGAGAAATATAGTCAAAAAGCATTGGTATGGAAGCTTCTGTTTTCAGTTACACAGTTTTATAAAGTTACAATTACTTATTGTAACCAGCTGAGTTTTATGTTTTGAGGTTTGTTTGCTTGCTTGCTTCTTAACAATGCCATATATCTTGGCATTTATCAGTCCATAATTACTAGATTCTTAAAGTCCATAAATATTTTTTTCTAGGTTGCAATAAAAATAATTGACAAAACTCAGTTGAATCCAACAAGTCTACAAAAGGTAAGATTGGTTCAATGTCCAGTATTTTTTAAACGATTGTCAGTGCTAATTGCCATCTAATTTGTCCCTTAAATACCTCAGCTGTTATTTTTATTTTATGTTTAATGCCATAAAGCTTCCTATTCCTCAAATTAGTGCAGCTTAATGTAGTATTTCATAAAAATGGTTGAGTTATCTTTAGTCGAAGATTTAGCTGTACAAGGCTGTACTTTTTATTGAATATTCTAAATATTGACTAGAGAGCACAAAAATGTTTTCATGTAATTGATATTGTGCAGATTTGTACCTTTCTTATAGCTAATACTGAAAATTTTAAACTCAACACTTTGGCTTCCTTAAACCCTTGACATACCACGTCTGATTAAGGAGTGATGATTAATATAAAAGGGAAATGTAAAAGTAAAACTAAAAGTGGAAAAGCATGTTCATAAAGCATTATTGTCATGGGTTTCGTTTAACATCGATCAAGCCTTTGCCCTAGTACCTTTTAGAATCACCTGGGCAAATTTTTGAAAGTCTTAACACTTGTATAATAGTGCCTAAGCAATTAGGTAGGGCCCAGACATAGGTATTTCACTGGTAGGTACATCAGCAAATAATTAATAATCTTCATAAGAAAATCTTTCTAGTTGTTTTTAGCTTTGCAGAGTCTTTTTACATACTCCATTTGATTTCTAGATTTGGCCTATAGTAGTTGGGGGGGTACAAAGACCATGAACTAGGAGCAGGAAGTACTGAATTTAAGTCCTGGCTCTGCCACTTAATCAGATGTCTGATTTGACCTTGAGCAAGGCACTTAACTTTTCTGGACCTTGGGTTTCTCACCTTTAAAATGGAGATAATTGGCTAGGTGTGCGGTGGCTTACACTTGTAATCACAGCACTTTGGGAGGCTGAGGCGGGCGGATCACAAGGTCAGGAGATCAAGACAATCCTGGTCAACATGGTGAAACCCATCTCTACTAAAATACAAAAAAAAAAAAATTAGCCAGATGTTGTGGCATGCACCTGTAGTCCCAGCTACTTGAGAGGCTGAAACAGGAGAACTGCTTGAACCGGGAGGTGGAGGTTACAGTGAGCCAAGATCACGCCACTGCACTCCAGCCTGTTGACAGAGCAAGACTCGGTCTCAAAATAAATAAATAAGTAAGTAAAAAATAAAAAATGGAGATAATTTCGTCTTCTCATGATGGATGTGACTATTATTAAAATAACGCATGTAAAAGAGCTTTGTAAACTGCACTGCACTATACATTTGTAAGATATTTTGATAAGTGCAATGCTGTATATATATTACTAATGTAGTCCTCATGGTTATTTAATCCTGGTAATTTTGAAGCCCTGTCCCTGTTACGTGTGGGAGGTAGGGAAGGAGATAGACTGTATCTTGCACTAAAAATGTTACTGAGATGAGTAGTTTTTGTGATCCGCAACCCATCTGGGCTTTAAGGCTTCTCAAGGTGGGCATAAAACATCTAAAAATTCCAGTCCTTTGTCCTGAAGAGTAAATTTTATCTGTTTCCTTAAACTTTCTATATTCGTCTAAGGACTTGGTACTAATACATACATTAGGGGTTATTAAAATTTGGTATTCAGAACTAAAAACATACACAGATGTTTACTGAGGACTCTAATTGAGTAGTCTATGATGTTACATACCTTTCACTATTCATGTGTACCTGGATATAATTGTAATCCTAGCAGTTTTCCAGGAAAAAATTTTATCATGGTGTTTTATCAAGTTGGCTGCAGTTTTTTCTTCTTGTTTGCTTCCTTCCTTTCTTTATTTTTGTTTTATTTTATTGGTCCTGATTTTTAATTGCTGCTCTTCTTTTATTGTTTGTCACATTATTATTAGTTTGTCTGGTTAGCCCACTAGTGTGAAGATTTGTTTGTGGTATTATTCAAGTATGAACCATCCACAGAAGACCGATTCTAAAGCTAGCTCTATCCCAAGTTAAATAACTTGATAAGTATAATATTATACAGCATTGTTTAAAATTGTGTATATAACTTGATATAAAGTAAATTAGAAGCATTTTATATACATTTCTTTCACATTCTTTTTCACCAGGTTTCTTACCTCCAGCCTCCCCTTCTCGTCCCCCTACCAACTCCTGCCATTTTGCAACAATGTAGAGTGTTCCAGGAGACCTTGTCAGACCCCTTTGGAATAGTCATTCTTGCAGCCTTTTTTCTTCTCAGCACTATTCATAGTTGTATCGCACTTACTTCAGGAACAGCTCTCTTAGATAGTGATTTAAAGCTGTGGAGCATGCCCTAGCAGCTAAGATTCATTGTAAAGAACATTCTGCCATCAATAGTATGTAGTCTGTTTTTACTGCCACTACCAAAAAAGGTAGACTGGCTCATTCAGGCAGTGTTTGAACACATGTTTAAAATATCAGTTTCATGATATTCAGGCTTGCACACTGGGTCATGAATATTTACTAAATGCACATATAAGTAAACCTGAGTTGACTCTGTTTGCAGATTGATGTTATTTTCACAGATGAGTCTCCTCATTTTTCCTTTGTATTTTTCTAGCCATTGAATTAATAAACGTTAGATTTTAGTGAGAGATTTATTTTTCACCACTGTTTTTGTACTTTTTTTTTTTTTAAGAGATGAGTCTTGCTCTGTTGCCCAGTCTGGACTCGAACTTCTGGGCATAAGCAGTCTTCCCACTTCAGCCTCCCAAGTAGCTGGGACTACAAAGGCAGACCACAGCATCTGGCTGTATACCTTCTAACTTCTCACTGCATATCTGGGATGCTATACTATTTTTAAGCATATTTTAGGTCAGTTTTGTTTTTTTTTTTGTTTTTTTGAGATGGAGTCTCGCTCTGTTGGCCAGGCTGGAGTGCAGTGGGGTGATCTGAGTTCACTGCAACCTCCGCCTTTTGGGTTCAAGCTATTCTTCTCCCTCAGCCTCCTGAGTAGCTAGGATTACAGGCGTATGCCACTACACCTGGCTAATTTTTGTATTTTTAGTAGAGATGGGGGTTTTGCCATGTTAGCCAAGCTGGTCTGGTCTCAAACTCCTGACCTTAGCCTCCCTTAGCCACCTGCCTTAGCCTCCCCAAGTGCTGGGATTACAGGTGTGAGCCACCACATCCAGGCTGAGGTGGGCGGATCAGTTGAGGTCAGGAGTTCCAGACCAGCCAGGCCAACATGGTGAAAGCTTGTCTCTACTAAAAATACAAAAATTAGCTGGGTCAGGAGGCTGAGGCAGGAGAGTTGCTTGAACCCAGGAGGCAACAGAGTAAGACTTCGTATCAAAAAAAAAAAAAAGAAAGAAAGAAATTTGTAACATGTAATGAAATAAAATGATTGATTTTTTAAAAATGTATTCATGATAGTTGGTTGCTTAGCCAACCTTGAGCACATTCAGGGATAGAGACACGCTCCTTCCCATAGCATCTTATGCCAGTGTTCAGTGGCTTTGTTATTAGAGCTTTTTCCCCTTACTTCAGAGTAGCATCTGTCTTCTAGAAACTTCTACAACACTGTTCTCTATTTTGCCATATGGAGTTATAGTCACTCCAAATATAGCCCTTAGAAGTTGCTATTCTGGGTCTTCTTGATTTTCTCTTCTCCAGAGTAAATACCCTCAGCCTCTTTGGGTACTCCCACAGGAGTTGCCCTCAACAGAGGTCTACTTTATTCCATACTTGGAATTGTTTCCAACTGCCACCTGAATTTGTTTGATTCCTGCTAAAATTCATTTAATTGATTTTCTGCCTTAATTCCAGTCTTTTGGGGCATTTTGGAATAATGGGTGTTTTGTGTTAGCTGCTATATAAATTGCATATGGAAGTCTCCATCCAATTAAAATATTTAGGCAAGAGCAAGACCTCTCAATGGAGAATTCATCCTTCTAAGTTGATACTGCTGACCCAGTAGTAAAGCATATTTTGAGTAAGGTTTAACCACCATTCTTAAATCTAGACTTACTAGGACAGAAAGGGAAATCCCTGTGTTTTTAAATTTTAATGAGATTTACAGAGGAAGAAAAAAGGAACATTAAACACAAATATATGCGAAATACCCAGTAGGATTTATTGAAGCATTATTGACTGTAGATTTCATCAGGGTCTTTGTGGGAAAACCCTGCTTATACCCACCTCAGTCTCCTTCCTTCCTTCCATTCTTCCTTCCTTCAGCTGGCCTTATCGTGATTCTAAAATAGGGCAACACTGCATTCCATAAAATAGAATAAGTGTTCCTATGAGCTGAGCAGAAGTTGGCTTTAGAGACAAAGACTGAAGAATGCTGAGGCAGGCCAGGCTCAGTGGCTAACTCCTGTAATCCCAGCACTTTGGAAAGCTGAGGCAAGAGGATCACTTGAGCACAGAAATTTGAGACCAGCCTAGGCAACATAGAGAGGCCTGTCTCTACAAAATAAATAAATAAAACAAATTAGCCAGGTGTGGTGGTGTGTACCTGTAGTCCCAGTTACTCAGGAGGCTGAGAAGGAAGGATCGCTTGAGTCTAGGAGTTGAAGGCCGTAGTGAACTATGATGGTGCCCCTGCACTCCAGCCTGGGCAACAGAGCAAAACTGTCTCAAAAAAAGAAGCTAAAGCAAAGAACAAAGAGTGTATTGATCCTTTCGGAGTTACTTTTTTGTAAGGCGGGGACAAGGAAACAGAACAATAGACCACAATAGACTACACTACATAGAAAAATAACTGATGATTAACATCAGGTTAATTCATGCTACATTTTTTTTTCCTGTAAGGATTAAAGCAGTAGGAACTTATTATTGTGCCAGTTGAAGTTTGTTTGTTTGTTTTAGACAGAGTCTCGCCCTGTCGTCCAGGCTGGAGTGCAGTGGTGTGATCTCAGCTCACTGCAACCTCCACCTCCCGAGTTCAAGAGATTCTCCTGCATCAGCCCCCTGAGTAGCTGGGACTACAAGTGCACGCCACCACACCCAGATAATTTTTGTATTTTTAGTAGAGACGGAGCTTTGCTATGTTGGACAGGCTGTCTCAAAA